CAGGAGCAGACAGCCTTATCTTTCTTCCTTGGAGTGGCTGGTGCATTTGAACCACTAACCTGGTTGTTAGCAGCTCAGTGCAGAACCCCCACCACCACCAGTACTCCTCAACTCCCACCAAAAGACTGGGTGGAACCATGTAAATACATAATCTCTAACTCAGGGATTTGTCAGCTTTGTTAGATTCAGTAAGATGTTCGGAGCTCTCCATTCTCCAAACGTCCAGATAATTCTCAGGGTACTGTGATAATTATATACTAGACAGAAAACAGTAGGCATAAAGAAAGAATGCCATACACCTGCCTTAGAGACCCAGGCAAACCTCCACAGTTTTTGCTGAACAGCCCTGGGGTTCTCAGAGGCCTGCTACCAGCCAGCTGCTCTTTTCCCATCAGCACAGCTGGGCATGTGGCCGGCGCAGAACACCTGGAGAAGACACAGAACCGCTACAGAATACACCAAAAAAAGAGGAAAGAGCGAGTAAGCAGTCCCCCAAATATTATACATCATCAAATTGTGTATTTCCTAGCTTTCAAGTTTTATTGTATTTTAGGTGAAAATTGCTAAGGTTCCTTGAAGAGATCTATTTTTCTACCTTAATCTTGTTAGTGGCATTTACACTCAATCTAAACATAGAAATAAAGGATTTATATTTAACAAGTGACACTGTGCCTCCCTGTGGTACAGTGTGAGTAAAACCTGGATCTAAAGGAGACTTCTGCCCTCCAACCTTGAAGTCTGGCATGGCCTCCCTCTGGAAGACGTTCTCAGTAATACTTTAAGAGAGAGACAATTACAGGCATAGCTCATTTTAGGCTGTGCCCCCTCCCTTTATTGTGCTGCGCAGTTTTTCACAAACTGCAGATGTGTAGTAAATCTGTGTTGAGCAAGTCTACTGGAAGCATTTTTTTCAACAAGATATGCTTAACTTCATGTCACATTTTGCTAATTTCCATAAAGTCGATTTTTTCATGTTATCACATCCTATAGTACAGTATAAACATAAATTTATATTCACTGGAAAAACCACAGAGGAGCGCTGGTGGTGTAGTAGTTATGTGTTGGGCTGATAACTGCATCAGCAGCAGTTTGAAACCACCTACCACTCAATGAGAGAAAAGTGAGGCTTTCTACTCCCATAAAGAGTCCCAGTGTCAGTGTTGGAAAACCCATGGGGAGTTCCACTCTGCCCTGTGGGGTAATTATGAGTTAGAATAGCTCAGTGGTAGTGAGGGAGGATAAAAACCAAGAACAAAGGTATGGGATGAGCTTTATTGTGTCATTTGCTTTAATACAATGGTATGCCTGTTCATTTAGTTTGCATTTTCTTTTATTTCCATCTTGGGACCTGTTTGAAATTGCCAGTAATCTGCTCATCTCATACTCACCCTACTTTCCATTACCTCTGTCAATATCCCGGTTCAGTTCCTATTACCGCCTATACTACTGTATTGGGCGGAATGTGTTCCTTGTCCCACTTCAATGCACTCTACAATGAACACAAATTAACCTTTCTAAGGCACACTCTGGCCAGACTGTGCCTACACCCCAATCTCCCCAGTAGTTCACAATGCAAGTAGGAATAAATGTCTGAGTCTGGCTCTCCAGGGCCTTCAGTCTGACCTAACCTACCTTTTTCGTAATTCTGCAATAGATCACCTATGCTCCAGGACTTACCTCAAGCCAGTCTGTGTTTGCATCTTTGTTTTGGTCTTCCCTCTACCTGTGCACCCCCGCCCTCACGGTTTCCTATCGATAGTCTATCCAGTGCTTCAAGATTGATCTCTACCTCAAAAGCATCCTTCATGTTCCTGACGCACAGGGCTGCCTCTCTTCAACCTGCTAGCATTGTCTTTGTAGTCCTCCTACACCATAGTCTTCATTCAGTTTTGTGTAATAGTTACTTATCCTCTCCTTCCAAAGTGGCCCTATTCGCGCCGACCTATAGGACAGAGTAGATCTACTCCTGTGGATTTCTAACGCTGTAATTCTTACAGGAATAGGAAGACTCGTCTTTCCCATGGAGCAGCTGGTGATTTTGAACTGCTGACTTTGTGTTTAGCAGCCCAACGCAAAACCCATTACGCCACCAGGGTTGTTGTAAGTCAGAATCGATCCGATGGCAATGAGTGTGAGTTTTCGAGACTAGAGTAGAATTTCCAAGAGCAGGACTTATACTAAATAAGTTTCTTGACAAAAGAAATAAAATAAGAATTCTGGGGGGGAAACAAAAGATATTTATTTTACTTTTACAAGGGGGCAAAAGGTTATTATTGATAGTAAAATAACATTTCCAAATAGGATTTGTTTTAAGTTATGACTAAATAAGAAGAGGTAATATACACTCAGATTATTGAATGAAATATTTAACTGGAAGAAGTGTGTATTATTTTTTAAACTAGTAACCCAGTACCCATGGATCCAACAAACAATAAAGCACTATTTTATTATAATGCCTCATTTATCTATTAACAATTTTTTTTAACATATTATTAGGGGCTCATACAACTGTTATCCCAATCCATACACACATCAATTGTGTAAGGCACATTTGTACATCATTTCTCAAAACATTTTCTCTCCACTTAAACCCCCGACATTAGGTCCTCATTTTTCCCCTCCCTTATCTATTAACAATTTATCTACTGCTGAAAAGTTCACATAAGCGTATTTTCCAGATAAGTGGCTTTCCACTGCAGAATCTGAGCTCAGCAGGTCTGGAGCCTAGGCCAGCTAAGAGATGCTCCC